ACTGGGGCATGGCCATCTTCCTGGGGTGTAATTTCTCACTTTGTCTCTCCAGCAAGTGCATGTACCCTATAGCAAAAAAGTCTCTCTTAAAAAAATAATAAATAGATACATTTCATTAGCTAATATTTTATTTAGGATTTTGCATTTATGTTCAAATGTGTGACTGACTCAAAAGTTTCCTTTTTCCTGCCGGTTTTGAGACCTAGGTTAAACTCATAAATGAATTGGGATAGACATTTCCATTTTCATTAACAGGCTGAGCTATGTAGGTAGTATAGTAGCTAGTGCAACAATTGAGATGCTAAGCAGTGGACAAAAGTGTTCAGGGGCATCCGAGTTACTAGTTAATAGGTGACAGTCTAGGATTGTCAAGACTGGCAAAATTCTTAATGTGTAGATAGTCCTCGACTTACAATGGGGGCTTATGCCCTGCTAAGCCTATTGTGAGTTGGAAATGCACTCGGCCCACTGCAGGGAACAACTTGTTTGACCTCACAGGGGCTGACTGAGAACTGTGGCTCACTGCTATGGCCCAGCCTCACGAGAGAGCATCGTACCACAGGTCGCTAAGTAGGAAACCATCACAAATCAGGGCACAGACTCTGCTGAATGTTTATCACTTCCTACCACTGTAAAGTAAAAAGTCCTAAGTCAGGGACTGTCTTCATTCCCTCCAAAAAGGTCTGAAGCGGATTGATCCTTAATCTGGTTTAAATAGTCTGTCTTTTTATCAACCATATTTATACCCAAACAGAATCTAAATTATTACTAGTACTATACAGTTTACAAAATACTTTTTTTCTCTTTTTTTGGAGAGGTTTTCGCTATAGGGCACGTGCGCTCGCCAGACAGACAGAGACATAGAGACAGAAAGCGAGAAATCACCCCCCCAGGGGGCATGGCCACGCCGCAATCCCTTCTCCTCCTTTCTCCTCTCGGGATCTTGGGCACACATGCACACGCGCCCGGCGTGAGTTTTAAGTCACCGGGTCCAGGACGCGAACCGCAGTCAACTACGTGGGAGTCCAGAGACATAGCCATTATGTTAACTGCTGGTTCCCCAAAATACTTTTTATATTTTTTATTTTACTGAATTTATCATAGCTTTTGAAGAGTCATATTATTATTTTTATTTTAGATTATTTCCTCTCTATCTTATAGATTATTTAGGATTATTCAGCTACACCAGTGGGGAAATGATTTTAAAAATAAAATTTATTTACTTCACTTCAGTCACATCAAGAAAGAATTTCTTGTAGGAGAGATGCTCAGTGCTGCAGTGACAGTGATTATTATCTTAGCTGTTATTGACAGTACCAAGAATGAAATAATGAATTTTCCAAGGAAGGCTGGAGGAACCTCTATTTTTGTTGACAGTATAGAAATGCTTATATTTACCATGAATTTTAATATAGCTCCATAAGAATTTTAATATACCTCTAAGTTTCTAAATTAATAATGTATTTAAAAGAATTATTAATTTAATTTTATTATTTTTTTTAATTGGCTATAGGGCATGTGTACTCACCAGAGAGACACACAGAGAGAGAGAGAGAGAGGGGGGAGGGGAGAGATGGAAAGTGAGAAAACAAGCCGCCAGGTCCAGGACTCAAATTGAGGTTGGCCATTTGGGAGTCCAGTGCCTCAACCACAATGCCACCCACTGGACCCCAATAATGCATTTTTTAACCCCCCAAAAAAATAATAATTATTTTTGTACTTTTCTAAGCACTACATAGGGTTGTACAAAGTTTAGATAAACATATAGAAAAAAATGCTCAAATATGATTATTTTAAAATGTATGCATCTTACCATAATGTAGAGCTGTTTGACCTTCATTGTCCTACAAAAAGAACAAATAATACACTTTAGAAATCTAAATAATTGCAAAAGTATGAAAGTTTGTAAACTACAGTATGTAGGAGAGATAGAAAGTTTTAGAGGTTTCTGACTCAGGAGAAGAAGTCCAGTTACTGAGCCTCACGGCAACTTCTGACCAGGCTCCCTACCT